TCTTTTTTAGGCGCTTTCATTACTCTAGACAAGAATTTAAGCCTTACATCAGGGCTTTTTACATTAAAATACTTTTCTGAACTTGCATGCTTTATTTTATAGTCTACATCCGTATCCATGCAGTGATGTTCCCTCGAATGAACATTCCCATCTGTGCAAAAAAAGGTTTTAGAGTTTTCAATGTCTACTGTAGGACCTACATCCTCCTTCGGAGCACTACTATCATACAAACCAGAACTCCTATCCGAGACAACAAAACCCATCTCAGCCGCTTCCCTAGCTGCATCATCCCTATCTTTAGACCAGCGAGCAGCTGCATCTTCCCTTGCAATCCTCCTGATTTTTGTACGATTGTCAATACCTTCTTCAGAAGAAGAATGTCTCTGCAAGGTCCCTTTAGATGGAAAGGGTATGCCCAACCAAGTATAATCCCTCTTCTGCACAACTAGCACACTTGGATGGGACAATACCACATCAATTATTACCCTCCCTCTCCTCAGACTGGTAAAAGGTAAAACGCGAAGTTTCATGGAGGGAACTTCACCATTAGAGAATTCTTCATCATCTGGACCAACTGAACATGACTCCAGTGTGATGCTCAAGGGTGAAATACTTCTAACCTTTCCAAAATCAATATCACGCTGAATACATTCGCTGACTGCTTTGCATACAGAAGGAAGAAGCTTTGCTTCAGCAAAACCCTTGGCTTTTGCCTGCCCATACCAAACCAACAAGCATACGCCAGATATAACAGCAACAAACGCTGAACATCTAATAAAAAACAACCCCTCATTCCACAGAGGACGCAAGAAACTTGATAGAGCTTTCGTTTGAGAAAGAGGCTCGTTGGCACATTTCATCAAATACTCATGTCTTGGTCCAAGTTTTATACTCAATGACTTCAATTGCTGCCCGCAAAAACGTGAAAATCTATCTACTCGAGCATTCCAATCGTTATGCTTTGCATGTATATACTTCTTAGAGTCCCTTTTAGACAGTTGGCCTCTACGCAAATAAACAAACTTACCATTGTTCATACAATGCAACGAGCTATGGAATGGAGTCCCAAAGAAAGAAGAATCGAGTTTCACATTCATTATCCCCCTTTTCCCGCTCCAACCAAAAACGATTCATCTGTTGGGGACCAAGAGGCAGGTCTTAGTCCCCTGACAATTCAAGATGTCGGCAAGTACCCAAACATAGAATCGATCCATGAAACTGCGCTGTTCACATTTCATTGAAAAACCATGGTAGCTCGAAATCCTAAACTTCACATTAGACAAATAACAACATCTTAATTCATAATTGAGAAAATAACAACATCTTAACTCATAATTGAGAAAATAACAACCTCCCAATTGCTCCCAGCACAATACTTCCCAATACCCAATCCAACGAAAAAAAAAAAGTGAGGAAATCAATCAGCTCGAGACGCTAACACTTCCCTGTCGAACATAAGAGCCTAAGTGCATGGATTACAGACAAAAACATATGAAAATTCGGGATGAAATAGAACCTGCAGCGATTCACAGAGCATTTGCGATGAAATTGGCGATGAAATTAATCAATTGCACAAGAATTGGAAATTATTGGGTGAGTGTCAGCTCATTCAGCAGCGCTTTTTGTCTTTGCGTGTATGGGAAAAGAGAGAGAGAGCTTACGAGCGCGACTATGAACCGAGATGTTCTCTTCTGCTCGACCGCGAATCGATTTTGGAGGGAGTGTGCGGTAAGAAATAAATAAAAGGTGACCCGTGGGTGTGCGAAGAGAATAAGGACTCTTTGGTACTTTTCTTGTTTTCAAATTAAGTTGACAAATCTGAGAATAACATTTTATGTTTTTACTCAAATAGAGATTTTTAATTTGAAACTTTAAAACATGTAATTATATTAAAGATGTACAATTTCTTATAAATATATTTTTTCATTTATGTTAAAATTATAAAATATTGTAAAATAATATCTTTTCGAAATTTATAACATATGTTAATAAGTATTTTGCTGGTTCCTGTATATTACTAAATACTTTAAAAAAATTTCAAATTGATATTCAATTTATAAATTTGCTACAAATATATATATTTTTCGTTGAACCGGTTGTTTTCACATCACCAGCTAAACACACTCAAGTTCAAACGTTATAGGATGCAAGTGTAATTTCAAAATATTTGAGAATGGAAAAATGCGTGTATATTCCAAAATGGTTGGGAATAATACAAATTTGTGTTTGTTTGATGGTGTTGAAACGGTTGTAATGGGAGATTATTGTAATTTTAATTGAAAACATAGTCATAGTTATTTAAGATTAAATAACTATGATACGGTCCACGTGGACTTAACTTGGTGATTAAAATATTCACTCGTGCTCCAAAGTAGAAAAAAAAGTACTAATATGTTTCAATGGTTAAAATTAATCAATTAATTACATTGTTTTAATATCGTGATATAATGCTAACAAAAAAATAAAAAGGCAATCTTTTAAACACGATAATTGAAAATACAAAAAAGCATAAACACAGTTCTAGTGCCCAATCACTGTGTATCACAACTATACTAACATTTCTCCGTACAATTTTTATTTCATGTGTCGCAACTCTAAAGAAATTCAAAGCACGAAGAACATTCGTCCAAAATATGCATAGATACCTATCAAAGTAGAACACATTAGGTACCAAGATGGTAATTTAGATGTAACATGTGATAGAAATGAGCTAAAAATATTTGTCAACCTCAAAAGAGATATATCATCATTATGACGTGTTACGCTCGTTTAATCAATTGAATGTTTTCAAACATATTTATTGCCCATGGAATTGACGGGTCACTATCTTCTAAATTGAGATATAAAAATCTTTAAAGATTTATCAACCCAACCATCATGAAAATTGAAAGACTCCTCCAAAATTGAGTTTTTGAGTTATAAACTCAATTCATTATAACATATATCACCCAAAAAAAACCTCCCAAAAGAGAAGTATTAGAGCCAATAATTTTTCTATTTTTGTCAAAAGAAAAAATATATATATATAAAATAATTTTTAAAAAGAATCAAACAGCAAGAGATTTTTTAAAAAATTATCTGTGCCAACTAGGCACCTGCAGCTCTCTTTCACCTAAGAAGCACACTCCATGGTCGCACCAGCAACCCAGAAACAGGATCAATTCACGGCAAGTTTTCGTTATACTTTTTTTATATATAAAATCAACAAAGAATAACAATAATAAGAAATATGATACTTAGGAAAAAAAGAATTGCAACATAAAATCCCCAACTACTAGAAGAGAACAAAAAAAGAAAAAAAAAGCAATAATTAT